ACACTGACGGCCGTCAAGTTTGGGCTTGTGGATCGTGTCTGGACCTTTGCAAATCCTTCATTTCTTCTCCGGGCCATAAATAGAACCTCCTTCATCTACTGCCCCGTGGGTCGTCGCTGGGACCTGCGATCAGTACCAGCATCTGTCTAAATTCACGCGTGGTGTTTGACCGGTTCTTCTGGTGCTATTTATCTCCAGAGACTCATCAGTGTGATAGTAGCATTACAATGTTTGAGAAACGTGGAATTCGCGGTAGATGTAGTCGAAGCAGCGCGTATCCATCGTGTTCAATCGAGTGAAATGCAACTAATCTCCAGCCACGCTACCTATTGACGACTGGGATTCTTTTGGGGGGTGGACACCCCCTCTGCCTTGCACTGCGCTTCCAAAAATGGTTCCACGAAATCCCACTTTTTCATAAGAACCTGCACCTTCTTTTTGAGAGCCTCGACTTCCCCTTCCAAGTATTCAATTTTCCTCCGTGCGCAGTCTTCATCTTCTCGAAACCTGTATTGTCTTATTAGTCTTCCTCTTCTTCGCGTACAGGCCCGGACCCAGAATGAAGGAGAGGGTTAAAGTGTAGCTCTAGCGAAGCCCGTCAAACAAACATACCTCACTCGCCGAATTGGCCTGTGGTCGTTACGTTAGTCATAAAAATGATGCTAGTCGTACTGTGCATGTCACTTACTGGTTGGCCGCATTCGCATGCGCCTGGGGACGTCTCTTGAGAGAGTCTTTCTCGCTCGCAGCTTGTCTCTTCTTGACGGGATCATGTGCTTCATCGTGAGGTTCATCGTCCTCGGGGCGGTCAGAAGACTCAGAGTCTATCGAGGACTCTTCTGCCAGCGCCTTTGACAATCGGGCAGCAAAACTCCCCATTCTGCGCTCAGTTCGTCGCTGCGAATGGTCGTACATTGCAGAGGGTTGTAAAGGGGAGAGAAGGGATGTTACTAATGATGCCGTGTGAAAACCATGATACCAGGAACGCGCTGAGTCATCGTGGATGAAATGAGGAACTCTCCTTAGAGTTTTTGGGTGGCAAAAATCAAAGGACGTCGACTTGTTGAAGAGACCCAGCAGAACAAGCCGTTGAATGGTTGGACACAGTGCAGAAGACACTTTGGATACATGTTAGTGAGAACAATAACTCAACGCCTCAGCATTGAGTTTCTTTTGTGAGGGCACCAGTACGTTGAAGGTATTCATTCCCCATCAACGCATGTATTTGAGACGAAAAACTTACATGAACCAAGCCGCGGTACTGTGCCCCTCGGCAACCCAGGGCAACCACGGGCATAATGGGGGTGTGAATCTGTCCGAAACGTTGAAAATCACGAAAACATATGCAACCCTTCGTTGAACGATTTCAACTCTTGAGCAGCCAGATGGTGAGTGTCGCTAGCAGGTGCGCAACTGGTTCCTTGGTAGAGACGTAGCCGAAAAAGTATAAGAGGGGCGGGATTCCCAGCCCAAAAACTCAGGACTTCTGTCCTCACACTTTGGTCTTCAAACTTTGACGCATCAAAGTTTCCCTATCTGCCTGCGGGCTTGAGAGGTTCCGTGACCACGGCTGTCGCTGCCAGCGACGTAAGAATGTGCTCCCTCGCTGCCCTGAGCCCCGCGAGTGTAAAAATGTGCTCCCTCGTTGCCCTGAGCCCCGCGAGTGTAAAAATGTGCTCCCTCGCTGCCCTGAGCCCCGCGAGCGTAAAAAGGTGCTTCGCAGGATAGGTCTGCGTCAACAACAATCCTCGCAGGGGAGGTGCTGCGTCAACAAGACTACCTCGCAGGGGGCCGCTGTGATGACAAGTGAGACCCGCAGGAGACCGCTGCGTTAACAAGTTCTCTGCAGGAGACCGCTGCATTACCAAGTTCTCCGCAGCCTAGGTCCTGCGTCAACAAAGCGCCTCGCAGGGACATCTGCGACACCAAGAGCCTCTAGCCCGTGCAGGCACCTCTTCGTGGTGTTAGGGACCAGTATTCGAGCATTCCAAGAGTATTCGATGAAGCAAAGACCTGCCCAACATCTTCATAATCTGTTTCGTATTCCCAAGAAGCACAATTGGATAGATAGAACGAATATAGATCGTCCCAAAATCAATCACCAAGTCGTAAGATTCAAAATGGGCTTCCCTCGTTAGCGACCCGTATTCCTATTCATTCTGCCTTTTCCGCAGTCCGATGATCCCGTCGCTGCTGCAATGGAAAACGGCATTTCTCATTCAGGTTTAGAGTAAACAGAGATGTTACGCGGGTATGTTTGTTTTGATAGAATGCTTGTCCTGACGAGAGTTGAATTGGTGAGAGTTGATGTGTTGATGTGTTGACGTTGATAAGTGTTGAGGTTGATGTGTTGACGTTGATAAGTGTTGAGGTTGATGTGTTGATGTGTTGATGTGTTGATGTGTTGAGGTGTTGAGAGTTGATGTTGATGTGTTGATGTTGATGTGTTGATGTTGATGTGTTGATGTTGATGTGTTGATGTTGATGTGTTGACGTTGATAAGTGTTGAGGTTGATGTGTTGATGTGTTGATGTGTTGATGTGTTGATGTGTTGATGTGTTGAGGTGTTGAGAGTTGATGTTGATGTGTTGATGTTGATGTGTTGATGTTGATGTGTTGATGTTGATGTGTTGACGTTGATAAGTGTTGAGGTTGATGTCTTGATGTGTTGATGTGTTGATGTGTTGATGTGTTGATGTGTTGATGTGTTGATGTGTTGATGTGTTGATGTGTTGATGTGTTGATGTGTTGATGTCGATGTGGTGAAATGTGTGTAGCGAAACATCACTTGTAGTGAATGGTTGGGCGGTGAAGGGAGGGGTGGTCCACGTCTCATGGAGGCAGCGCGGTTTCTTGCCGTGTCACCCACATTATAGAAACTTCAATTGCATTTTTTTGATTCCGCAAAGCAATTTTGATCCCTGTGGGTCACGTCTTGACTATGGCCTCCAACTCAATTGAGATGATCCAATTCAAGAATTGTCCAACTATGATCACGCAATATACTGTACACTCAAGATCAGAACTACGAAGTGTAGAGCCATGTGATGTATCTCGAAAATCCGAATCATGGGTTCAATTGAAGATGATTATGCGATAGGCTTAGTCTCTTGCGTCGCCAAAGAAATTGCGTGAGATGACTATTGCTAGTCACTCGAACCTATTCTACACTAGAATGCCTACATCGTAGAGCCATTGCGAGAGTGAGAGTTTCTTTCTCTCGAGGTTAACATTTCATTGGTAGCTTTGGCTCGTGAATATATGATTGGCTCCAACAGGTAGGAGCCCGTCGCAAATTTGTGAATAATTCCCCGTCAGTACTTCCGATTCATAGTCCACCCAATGTCTCGTAAAAGTCCACTACAGCGATGAAGAAACGGTCGTTACTTTTCCGTGAGGCATATTCCCCACTACATGCGATAAATCATGCTTCGCTGCTGATATAGCATGATTAAATTCCGATCGGGGCCCAACGAGCCATCTGAAATCAGAACTGGTAAAGACACTCTCCACGACCACCGCTCAGGACCTAGTGATATTTCTACAGGGGTGTTCTCATCTACGTGTGACCCTGCAGGCATCCGCTCAAACTCCTCCCCAAGCAAAGATAACATGAGCGCTGATTAGGGTAGATAATTCAGTATAGGCTGTACGGTGTTGAAATATATGCCTAGACAGTGGTATCTTGGCAAAAAGTGTATGTCAATGAAATGAGATGTTTTAATTCTGACTCTCCGAAGAGGTACTTCTACAGCTATTTGTAGTAGTAAAAATACAATAAGCGAGAGTGCGACGGAACTGCAAGAGTTCCATGGTACAAAACATCCAATAAGCCCTATATGGTCGTTGCGCATGAATTTAGAGATGTTGAGGCCTCAGGGTCACTGAGCCAATACCTCAACATACGGGACATTCAAAGGCCCTACAACCCGAGGGCCCTTGTGGTGCTGTTACAGACATTAAACCCACCTTCACGGTGAATTGCCCAACAGTGATATGCCAGATATCGTCTTGGGAGCGATGTCAAATACATCATAGATGATCAAAGCACAGTGAGCTCAGAGACGTAGAGAAATCGGTGATTTGCTGGCAAGACCTGCTTGCGCCGCCAGTTACGATATGTTAGACGACGGTCTCAATGGACGAAGGATACTGGATAACTTGACTGACCTCCAGCTGCTGTGACATTCAAGGTGTATGGGCTTTGCACGTAGTGCCCGGTCTTGGATAGAAAAGACAGCCTTAGGAATCAAATCACCAAGCTTCTGTCTAACAGGGAAATGACAAACAATCCTGATAGCATGCAGCTCCCTGTATGTCCGAGTGGTTCCCGCTCGCTCGCACATATCGACGAGCTCAGCAACGCTGAGAGGAATAGGGGTCAAGGGACTGTATCATATGTTGTCCTTAGGTCATGGGTCCTCTCAATCGTTTGGCCATCCTCGGTCTTGTCCATCGATTTGAGGCTGACATGGCTATTGTTAGTTGATTCGGCTAGGAATGATGGGACTCTCGCCTCACATTCTCCATACAAGCAGACTCGACAGTACGAAGATACGGCTCTATCAAGACAAACCATCGGCTCCTCTCGGTGTCTTCGGAATTTTAGGCTCGAAAGACGCTAGACGCTATCTGAGGACAATGATGGTCACTCACTGGACGCCAGGGATCCAAGCCGCAAGTAGGCCATCCTATGAGAGGGTTCAAATGCCGGGAGACAGACACGCTATGCGCTCCATTGGGTCTGCATCAGGTAGGCATACCAACGCATGATCTGATAAAACCAGTCGACTGGGGGAAGGTCGAGCTAGCGACTCGTCCATGTCACCAGTAGTCATGTGGAAAAACAGAGCATACCATGGTATTGGTGTAGGGGAGGTCGAGCAGATTTGCTCGCTTTGCATTCGAGTGATGGGAATCCCAGGGCGTCTTCCTGTGGTGAGACCAGAGTCAGCAAGTGTTGATTCAGTTGGACAAGGTGTTGTACTTTACGCCGTTCATGAAGACTCCGAGTGTATGCTTGAGACAGATAATCAACAAGATTTGTGATCATACCTGGTAACCAACTAGATCACTGCCAATGGTCGGCTGCTATGGTGGACAGATATTCGCATAGTTACTTTGACTAGCTAACCCAAATCTGCTTCTTTAATCGGCTGGCATAGGTGACATGGTACAGTAGACCTGGTGTGAATCACCTTCTCATAAGCACTTTCTAGCTTGTCGGCCCACGATGCATCCATAGATGTCAGTACAGTGGAAATTTCATTAGGGTTGAATGGAAGAACTTATCAGGTGCCTCAAGCCGAGGGCCTGATCGACTTTGTACAGCAAGTGGCAGTATAGTGGAACGAATTGCTGAGGGGAGAGGACGTATTTATAGGCTTCTCAGCTCCTGTCGCGTACGTGCTCTGCCAGGTAGCAAACTTTGGACACAATGCCTATCCTAAGTGAGGCCTATTGCAACCCATGCCCCCGTTCTACCGCAACTATTTGCACCGAATTACTTGGTGCAATTTTAGATGCTCACCGAGAAAACATGCTAGGGTCAAGTAGAGAATGAGTCAAAGTGACTCGGTTAAGAAACGTTGGCTCACTATTGAATTTACGGTCTTAATATTGAGGCAATGGAAGCTGTTCATTCTTTGATTTTACCAAGAGCGCTCACATTTTCATATAAGGAATACGGAAATTTTCTGGCCTCGCTCGAGTGTTGATTGTCCGAGCTGTGTGTGGTTCTGTCCGTCTAGGCTGCGGAAGCGTCAGGCCGCGGTCGCGCGGGCGCGGGCGGGGCAAAATTGCATAGATCAAAATGCCGTATTACTGATTCCATACTCAAATGAAACTGTTGGTATCACCAGCTAGGTAACGTGTACACAGTTAAGTGGACAGTGTATATGCTTCCAAAGCAAAAGTCAATTGATTGATGTAAGATAGATGTGTCCTTTCAGTCAGGTCGGGTTCCAAGATATCCCTTAATCCCATGCTCCGATACGGGGCAGTCACAACACCGGAGCTGCAGCTCCGTGCAAGAATGCGTACACCAAGCAAGGGATGTAATCCCTCCGCTGACAGAAGGATATATCCCGACAGCAACAGCAAAGAGACAATTAAGCTATTCGGTAAATTTACTGTTCACTTGTTGAGTCTTGGTTTCGTGAGTACATCAGCATGTGAAGCCTTCCTTGGTCTTTCAGAGCGGTCGGGGAATGCATTCCTATCCAGAAGACTTCGATAAGCTCTGTGAACTGCAGCTCAGGATTGGGTGGCAATGAGGTACTTCTCAGTGGGAGTAAGGTCTTTGGGGGCATCGAGGTAGTGCTGGCACAGAGTGGCCATCACACTGTTTTTGGCAGAGAACTTTGGAGGCGACCCTCGGAGGAGTGCAGCACGGCATACAGAGCACAGGTTCCAGTAGCCGTCACACCAGCTGCAGTCATCAAGTAATCTTTTTAATGGCAGGGTAATGGGATCATCTTCAAGAATTCGCCGTCTATCAGTGCTAGGGACGAGCTTGCGGTAAGCGGCACATATAAGGCCTCAGGATGCAAGTTCAGGCTTCTTTTCGAAGCGAGCTAACGTATTTCATATGCGAGCCGCCCACCCAAGCGAGCCGCCCACCCAAGCGAGCCGCCCACCCCAAAACACCGTAGCAAATGCGATATATTCTACACTTATATCTCAACAACCACCTCTTAATTATATTTCATTGCTTACCGATAGCTATTGATAAGACGTAATAGCGCTGTGCTTCAATTTCAAGGAAATCAAAAAGCCATATTATCATCATTTCAAAAAATTACTCAAAAATACACTGCTATGAGCTATAAATGTATATATCTCAATCACGAAGTCATAGAAGTCCTCCGAACTCCAAAAAGAGGCTATATATCACCTGAAAAGCATTCTGATAAGAAGAAAAATACTCGTAGGCCAGGGTTGTTGAGATATAAAGCTGTAATTTATCGCATTTACTACGGTGTTTTGGGGTGGGCGGCTCGCTTGGGTGGGCGGCTCGCATGTGAAATACGTTACGGAATGCTGGATGTGGGATTGAGACACGGGATACGGGAGCGCCTCTGAAGCATGTACACGGCAACCATGCTCTTGGCGTACAAAGTGTACACCACTTTTGAATACAAAGGAAGAATTGCAAGTGTTACAGATTTGAGAACTTCAAGTTTCCGGTATATGAGATAATGTGTAGTTGACTTGGCAACTGGTCGAGAATAACAACTCCCTAGGAATGTTAAATTAGAAGGATACCATAGTTACTGTACAGAACACTATCATAGCATACAAACCGATACAAATCATTACAGGCTCTGAATCACATCCCTGGATCTAATTACTGTAAATTACGACAGAGTCAGACCAACTGAGCTGTCTGTATTTTATTCTAGTTTTTGTATTGCTTTCAATGAGCACCCCAGCTATTCAATTCAGTTTGGTATTTTGAAATAAAGACTGCCAGTTATCGTATTGAAGGTTAAATCAGGTGGCACGACTCCCTCGAAACCACCCATACCACGAGGACGAAATACTTCGTGGAAAAGATGGGGCCGAGGGCATACCGATGATTGGATAGCAGGTAAGGGTGTAATGCGTCGTGTAACGTAGAACATCCGGCAAGGCATTGTTTATTTGATCCCTATTTAACGTCTCTACTTCGTGTTATTTCTAAATCATCTACGTTCGCCTTATTGCTATGATTTATCGCCACCTAGGCTACGCGGCATGTTTACTGAACAGCCTCGTAAGAGTCTCTGCTATTGATTTAGATATCAACAGCACAGGTATGTTACTAAGTACGAAAGTGTCACATAGGTTAGCGCATGAACTAACAGGGTCCAGAATCAATACAGAATGCTGCGATAATCCAAGTCACCAACCTTCTCAGCAATTCCACCATCGACGGCAGCGTCAACCCCCTAACCGATGATCCTTTTCACGGTGTAAAGGACGAGGCAACCATATACATGACCTTGATTCCATTCTGGAACACGACCAAGAACAGCAAATACAACAATCTCGTCATTGATCGTATGAACAGCCAAAGATCAACAATATTCAATTCGAGCTACAATTCAACCAACACAAAACCAAGCACCGCTATCTGGGGTCTAGCAGCTATGGCCGCCGCAGAAGTAGACTTTCCGACCAATTCGTCGGAATCTTGGTTTAATTGCGCTGTAACTTTGCACAGCAAAGTCATGTGGAAAAGCGGTCAGTCTTGCACCGACGGGCTTGCGCCGGACTCTCCAAACCTCATCGGGCAACAGTTTGGGTACTTTACTGGGATCTATTTCCAACTAACTTCGCGACTTGCTTATGCTTCGTCGGGGGGGCATCGACGGTTTTTTGCTGATCGGGCTTCGGCTGTTTGGTTGTGGAGTGTCAATAATCTCATTTTGAACGAGAGCGATTGGACGATTAATTCCCTTGTTGCTGGGACAGATAACGATACCGCTTGCTTTGTATTAAAGGATTGGAGGTTAGCATCCTCTTATGGATTGTGGCTAAGCGGCGCTGCGTATATGTTCAAAATGGTGAGTTGCCTCCGCAGAAAAGTTCTCCTTGCCTTGCTTTTATGGTTCTCCCCTTGTTCCATTTGTCGTCCAGGAAGTTCTGTAAAGCGCTGACAAGATATGTACAGACGGACACCGACTTATGGAAAACAAGAGTCGAAGGCCTATTGGACAAAACCTTAACATCATTTTTCACTCGGAACATGATAGTGGAAGTAGGGGATCTGGTTGATGGACTTGGTGCGGTGGAACAGGCCAAATATTCAACAGAGGCAGGTAAAGGGTTCTTAGCCCTATGGCTTGCGAGTGTATCAAATTTGATGCCGGAGGTCGCCGACAGGATCGATGCTAAACTACGCAGCACAGCCGTCACGCTAGCACAGCAATGCGGTGGGTCAAGCAATCATACTGTATGCGGCTCAGACTGGACCTCTTCTAATTATGACGACTCCCCCAGCTTCGGGAACACACTGAATGTCGTGAATATCCTGGTGTCGAATCTGATAATTTCAAAAACTGCCGGCAGTATTGCAAATAAGACGGAAAACGGCAGTGGCGGTGTTTCCAAAGCCAACGACACGTCTACTGGTGGCGGTGACAGTGGTACAATCTCTGACGGTGCAATCGCGAGTGCAGTTGTTGGCAGTGTAAGTGGTGCCGCAATCATTATTGGCGCTATCTCCTGGGGCTTGCGCAAATGGAAAGACCAGAGTTATGACGCCGTTCGAAAGGATGAGCCTGGCAAAAAAGAATACACCAGTGGGCAACATTCACACCCTGCTGAGGATTTGTATGGCCATATCCGTGCTACTGATCAAGTGCAAAGGAGGCTGGTTCAGGAGCTACCGAATAATGTTATTGGGGAATTGCATGAAGAGGCTGCTACCACACTTTCGAGCAATGTGCGACATGAACTGGCCTGATGTACCGAAGTTACTACGTACTCTAATGTGTATATAATATATCTTTTGGTTCAAGTGGAAGTGTTAAAGTAGCTGTACATACTCTCATCGCATACACCAATATTTCTCCAACGAGATCGTACGCTAATTCTGCTTCTGTAACCCTCCTCAATTAATCTGAGTTGACCGTTATCAGATTGACCAGCAGTATCTTCGTTATCATTGGACGCCAATTGAAGTAATGGATTTCATGCTCAGCCGAATCACGTCGATCAGTGCCAATCTGGGGTAACTCATTATCCTGAGTCGTATAGGCCTGTCTTCACTTGCAACGTAAATACCAAAACAGCGATACAATATATGATCTCGCTACCTTATCAATCAACAAAGTGCCTCAAAGTACCCACCTATTGCTAAGGAAGATTTTTGCCAACAGGGAAATTGACGCGTCAATTTTGCGCAAAACCTTGAGAACCGACACACCTAGAATAATAGGCCTGGGGGATATTAAATGAATGAAAAGAAACAGAGCCAGAGACCTTGTCTACTTAATATTGTTTTATGCGAAACAGTGATTGAACGGTGATGGCCAGATTGACGTAACGCCAGACACGGGCGGGGTCAAACCAGTTCCTCTCCGCCATGGGACTTCTCTTCTTTCATGTAAATTGCAGATTTGCGGAATGTTCCCAAATTTTACACCGTTTGTAATCCAGCGGCGGAAGTTGTATTGTCCAATATTATCCCCAAACATAGTATCTTGACTCAGCTCTGGCGTGAGCTCGGTATTCGCAAAAGACCCATCGCTGAAAGCGAACGAAATGGCTTGGGGACAATACTGTATGACACTAAAAGCAAACATGCTTTTCCTCCTATGCCTGTTTCTATTCCACAGTCCTAGCGGTTGAGGTCAAATGTAGGTAGAAGTGAGTCTGGCCGCCAAGATTTGAGAACCAAAGAGGACAAAAAAGTGAACATGTTTTTGATCCGTCCTGTATATCCGCTTACAAGACGGCAAAAGGCGCGTGACGAGCCCACTTGTGACAAGGAATTGCACGGTTGTATTAGGAGACAGCTTCGTGCAGACAGAGAGAGGTTGAGGCACTCCGTCGTTCAGTGTGTGAAGGCGGTGAAGGGGAAGACGCGATGGAGCGCGTCGGCCCCTTGGTTTTATCTGACTCGGCGGGAATAGATTACTCGCCACAAGAATTGTCGCGGTTGGCGATGGGCTGGCTGCTCCTGCAATGGCATAGAGATGTCAGTGGTGTTTGTGTCTCCGGCACAGAGTTGACACAAATCATCGGACCCGGCGCAGCAGGAGGCGTGATATTGCACTCACCGCGTCGTGCACAACGAACGTCTGGGGCTTATGCATCCTGCTGTTTGCCCGCGGCCTTAGTTTGCAGTATTTCACATAGGACATGTTGCATGGTTTGAAGTGANAGGGCCAGAAATGGCGTGTAAGCCATGACCCTGCGCGGAGCACTGACGGAGAGCTGGTTCGGACTCAGTCTGGTGCGCTGTCAACGGTTTCCTGTCCATCGTTAGCTTGTCGATCGGCGAAGCAATGCTTGACTCACATGTTCTGAAAGACGACACGGGAAAGGGCAC